AGGGTTCACACTGAACCCCAACACGAGAAGCAACTCTTAAAAAGTAGGCCTCCGAGGAAAAACCGGCCCGGGGTTCAGGGTTAAGGTCCCCCCAGAATACGGCCATCGCAAGGAGTAGAGCGCCCACAGCAAACTCACCTACATATCTAGACATGCAGGTACATATATAACACTTCTAAACGAAGCTTGCGTCATATGGATGCTCCTAAAAATTTCCCCAAATCCGAAACCCTGAACACTAAACCCTAAACGGCAAAGATCCATGAGAAGGACCCCCCCTCATAATCAGTCTCTATATGGACCCAATCCCCCAGTGACCTAAACATCTCCTGTTTGAGACACTCTTGGCGGGGGGGGTCCTAAAATGATGGGTGCCTTTTTGGGTGTCCCTGTACTCAGGACTATTGTATCTTGGGATCTATATTGTGGTCTCCTTTTTTGGGGGAACCCACCAAATTGAGTCATGCTCTCACAACAAGTGATTCCGAGGATGCCCTCGAGGCCTCCAACCCGACCACTGGCCTCGGTTTTTTTTCTCCGCACAAAATTAGGGTTTAGGGTTTAGGGTGTAGGGTTTAGGGTTAAGGGGTCTGTAGTTTAGGGGTTAAGGTTGAGGGTTATGCAGCTCAAGAAGATCCCCTGCCGCCCCTAAGAGATCCTAAAAAATACAGCCGCAAGTAACTAGGCTCCCAGTAACCCTTTGCGAAGAGGATACTATTTTTCCTAGTATTCAACTTTAGTAAGGAGACCCAGGGTACTACTGGGCACCTGGATAATCCGTTAGCATATTTCCAGAGGGAAGGGATGAGGAGCGGGCGGCATTGTTTCAGAATGCTGCAGCTGGGTGATTCATTCGGTTGCGAAAAAAGCTTACCCTTAGCATGGGGATGTCATTTACAAGGGATACCACAAAATGATTTTCCAGCAAATGCTATTCTGATAACGTACCTAAGGAACAAGAAAAAATCTTTGCCGAAGTGAAACGAGCAGCAAGCACAGAGCCGTGGGATAAAGCGTCAGCAGTCAGGCCCAGGCACGGCATCGCCTTGCTAAGCGGTTGCAAAAAGGGGTTATGAAGGTCATGCAGGTTATATAGGGTTATAAAACAAGTTATATAGGGCTATGTAGGGTTAAGGGTTATAAAGGGTTATGCAGGGGCTAAGGGTTCTATCGGGTTTTCCAGATGCTATATGGGGTCATGCAGGGTTATGGCTTATGTAGGGTAATATGTTATATAGGACTATGTAGACGACAGGTAATACAGGTTTTCATCGAGGTTGTATGAGGTTATGCAGGGTTAAGGGTTACGTATTCAGGGATATATAGAAATTATGGCAGGGTTATACTCGCGGTTATCTAGGATCAACTAGAGTTTAGGGATAGTAGCCCAATGAACCGGAATATGAAAGGTGACGTCCTCAACGAATTGGTCTTTGTGGTCCTTTTTTTGGGGGCCTGCATATTTGGTAGAAAATCTAGCAACTTCGCCACAACAATTGCGACAGTCTGTTGTGTTAGCTACCTATGAGCTTCCGCATGGACAGCAGCAGTGGTGAAGCACCTCAGGATGCAAAGAACCTCTTGCATGTAAACTTCTTCTAAGGACTCTTGATTACAAAATTGAAGTTCTTCGATGTTTCAGGGATGATTCTTCTGTTGAATCTGATCTAAAGCGTTTTTGCGGTGGACGTATTTCACTACTTAGCTGCCATAGAGCTGTATGCTCGATGGCTACTCGGACCATGGAGGTCCTTGGGCAAAACCACCCCAAAAAAGGCAGGCCCCATTTTGGGAACTACCCATACACCCTAAACCCTATACTCTTTTTTTTGGAAACCTTGAACGCTTAATGTTGACTTCATTTTAAGAACTACCGTTCCGCAAGTATAACAGCCCCCACATTTTATGAAAAATCCGAAAACGTATGATTTTTGCTGGGACAGCGCTTTTATGTAGATTTTAATTAACTCTAAATAGGCGTTCAAACCTACGTTTTGGGCATTGTTCTTCCGGGGCTCCCCCAGAACGGAGATAGATCAATCGAGGGGCGGGGGGGGGGGGAATTTATTAATACCAAGTCAACATGCCCAATAAACCCAATATATCCCTATATATACCCCCTATAACCCCTTTTCAAGGGCCCAATGAATCCCTATATATATATCCCCTATAACCCCTTTTAAAGGGACCGGAATTAGGGGAACTACCCAAATCCAGGGTCAAGGTATGCTCCGCCTCAAGCGCAGCGAAGGCATGGCGCCAACGTGATCCGGCTTGCCAGGCCTAGAGGACTCTTTTAGGGTTTAGGGTTTTAGGGTTTAGGGATTAGGGTTTAGGGATTTGGGGTTTTAGGGTTTAGGGATTAGGGTTTTAGGGTTTAGGGATTAGGGTATAGAGCTTAGGGCTATGGTAGAGGGCTAAGGGTACAGGGTATAGGGTTATTGCTTGGGGCGAAAGGTTTAACGTGTAGGGTCTGCTGTGGTCGGTATAGAGGTGAGTTAGAGCATTCCAAAGAAATGGACATCACTACACTATTTAGGGTTTAGTGTGGGTTCTAGCTGGAAAAGAAATACTTATCGTATTGCTTAGTGTTGAGGATTTACTTACTTGTGCTCAGTCTGGACTGGAAAGAACACGGAAACTAACCCATATCATCTGGGTTTGGGGCTGGAGTTGCGCGAGCTTGGAAACCTATACTCATTTTTACGATAATGATTATATGGGGACCTCCAAAATTCTAGGGATGACTTTGGATTCAAAAGGCACAAGCCTCATCCTCAGAGGGTTGGTTCCCTGGAGAATCAAAAAGGAAGCTAGGGCTTCTACGGGGGGAAGGTATTTACAACCCCAAACCCTAAACCTTTCACCCGAGCCGCAGAATGGGTATATAATGACTCTTGTAAGATCCTTGCCATAAAGTGGTTCTTAGAGGGGTTGGGGTTACCAAGATCCCTCATGAGGTTAATAAGGGAATGGGCAAACAACGGAAGCCACCTTTACTTTCTGGGGTTAGTAAAAAATGGAACATATTACATAGGGGTTATACTAGCCCACCACTAAGTTTGTTTTGGCACGCGCATCGCAGTCAAGCATGCACGGTTCGTTCCAGTAAGTTTAGTATCTAAGGTTTTGCTACTTGCATGGCTGAACAAAAGCGCAACGTCTCCATCCGGTCAAAGGCAGGCTGGCCATTCAGAGAACTATTCCGGGGAGCGCTTAGGTTTTGGGGATTGCATATCCATACTCCCTCGAGGGCCCTCCCACGCACTGAGATTTTCCTGTCGAATCTCATAGGGACTAAGGAGTGTTGGGTAAGGGCGCAGACTGAGCCTTTTAAATCATACTCCAAAGTGACAATAGGGATTTTTGAAAGGGAAGGCGCAATTTTGGAAATCCTTGTGTGTTAGGTTGAGAAAATCATTGTCCTATTTAGGAATACCTTAAATGATTTGGGCCGGAAACAGGGCACCCAAAACGGGATAATTCTAACAACCTGTTTTCTAGGTTCAGCCTCGGGAGGGCTGATGTTGCCAATGAAATCCCCACCATACCCTCCAACAGAACGCCAAAACATGCACATGGTAACACATGCCTCTGAATGTCTTGTTTAATACTCGGGGGATTTAGTCTTTGGGGGAAGGGATAAGAATCATGGGAATTACACTCCCCCAAACTAACATGGAAACCCATATAGCCCTTTGCTAAATGGACTGTAGTCTTTGTAGGGCCCTTTTTGGGTTTCCATGTTAGTTTCCAGGAAGGTACCCAATGTATTGGGGAAACAGTAGGGAGACCTCAGACGCGCCAAGCTTCTCGAAAGGCTTAAAACCCTGAATCCTAAATTGCCCCAAATCCTCAACCCTAAACCCCAAATCCTAAGCCCTAAACCCTTCTTTGAAGGGGAACAACCCTAAGGTTGCATGGGGAGACTATCAGGGCAACTATGGGGTTCCCTATTCAGATTCCAGAGGGATACATAACCTTTTGCTCAAGTTATTTGATGACTTGGGCTGCTTAGAAAGGGTCCCGCTTTCCAGGCAGCGACTGAACCACAGCACGGCGGGTCTTGTCGCGATGAAGCATGGCAGCAGCAACGTCAGTTACAGTAAATGCATCGAGCTGGACCTAGGAACGTGATGGACCCAACAACAGGAAGCACCAGTGCAATCATTCCTTGATACAATCAAGGTGTTCCATTGACATCAGCCAGTCAGGGCTATGCGACGGCAGAGTGCGCAAGGAGATCTTGTCCACGATGGCCGACTGACTAGGAGTCTCACCAGACGGCCCTAAACCCTATATAACCCTATTATAGTAGTTTCCATCCTCTTTTCCATACTCCCAATATATCCCCTATTGTAATATAATGTTGTAGATTCCATGTTCTCTTCCATTATCCTGATATAACCCGCATATAACCCCAATATTCTAGTAGTTTCCATTTTCTTTTCCATTATCCTTATATAACCCCTATATATATTATCCTATATCATCCCAATTACCCCCCCTTCCCCCCCCCTCTGACCAGACAGCAAGGCCGAAGTCGCCAAAAAAATGCCAGTCCCAGCACTTACCAACTTACTGGTTCTTAGTGCGGAATAACAGAATATAATCCCTCTGTGTAATATACTCCCATATTCGGGAATCAGGAATATACTCCCTATATGATATACTCCCCTATATCCCACTAAGAACCAGTGAGGCGACGAACCGATGGCTTCAAGAGCTGCATGTTCTTGAGACGGAGATTGCGTATCTCAACCTTGGCACCTGCAACCCTGCTTCTCACTCCTTTGGCCAGAGCAAGGCCTTGCACGTGGATCCCAGATGAGCTGTAGTCTAAACTCCAAGTATCCCACTCAATATCCCCTGTACTACTCCTATATATATTCCCCTATAAGACCCCTTTAAGGAGATTATACCATAGTCTATACCTCCTGCACACTCCCCTATATAACCCTTTTTTAAGGAGTTTGGACTATAGCTCATATCCCTAGCAGTTAAAGCTGAAAGCTAACTGCTTCAGTGCGGTTGGGATCTCCTTGTGTAAGGTGCGACAAAATCCTCCAAACATAGCCATTGTAAGTCCTCGATGGTTGAAGCTTTGCAGTATGCGCGTAGCTCCGCATTGCCTCTACCCCCGTCAGAAAAAAGGCTGATACATACCTACTATATACCCTTTATGGCCTTAAGGGTCCCTAGAATCCCCCTAAAGGGCCTAAGAGCCCATGTTAGGGACCCGTACTTCTAACCTCAGAGTCAGAAAATAACACACAACTGAGCTGCTTAGGGCTCTCGGGCTTAGCTCCAAGTATCAAATAAGCATTTCTTGAAAGAACTGCTCTACAGAATCCCGTGCAGGGACCCCAGTAGAATCCTCTCATATGGGGTCCCCAAGCGTATCCCTCTTTCGTAAACCTCCCAAATAAATTACCCAAGGAAAGCCAAGTTACCTCATAAACTTGGGATTTTGAAGCGCTTTCTGCATCCTCCAACAGTCTTCGCTGTCCCAGGAGCTGGCGAACCCGTCCATCCATAGGGGCTGCCTGCCACAATCCTAGGCTGACGTGTAGGTTTTTTTTTAATGGGACCTATGCTTAGGGCTTGGGATCTTCTAATTATGCGAGGTTCCTGCTGCTACCGGACACACCCCTGTACTCCTATCATTGCACTTTCCCAATCATGAAATTATGGCTCAAGTATCTTGAAGACACAGCAAATATTGGGTGTAGAGGGTTGAGCATTAAAGGGGACAAGCTGTACAGCAACCAGGGAAAACGGCTTGGGCCGACTGTAGGTGATGGTGGGCCGTCTCACTAGCTTTTAAAAGAGGATTCTGGGGGGGGGGGGGTGGTATAGTATGATACCCTATAATGGATTTAGGGTTTAGGGTACCCTACACTTGCGTAGATCCTAAGGGTCACTACTGCTGATTCTTTGCTCCCCGAGAACAGTGTCTGAACTGGTCGTCAACCCTGAACCCACATTCAAAAAGAAGTCATACGAGCTAAAATCTAAACTCCTAATAAACCCTAAACCCTAAACCCGAATAACAACCTCTATATCCCAAGGTAGTCCCTGTACTAACCCCATAAGCTACATGGGTCCCTATTAGGGGTCCCGTCAAAAGCCCTTAGAACCTAGTAGCCGGCGGTCTGATGCGACAGGAAGATGCCTCTCAACTTGTCTTCCACCTCGCCGGCTGTCTCTGCAGGAGAAGGGCTTGCCCCAAGCTTCCGGAGGCAGTGCCTTAGATCTCCTGGCAACCTACTGGCACTGAGGTTCTTTTCTATGCGGGGGTTTCCCAAAATTAGGGGTACCATTTTGGGGGTTTTTATAATAAGGATTATGGTATATTGGGGTCTATATTGGGCTCCCCCTATTTAGGGAAACTACCATGTAGAGTTTCGAAGGTCAAGGACCCGATATGGGATGACCATCTGCCTTGGCTATAAACTCGGGGTACTTTGAACCAACTGGATACTTGTTGTCGCTCATGTTGACAAAAACGAGCATGGCCTCCCTGACATCTGTGTTCAAGTCATCGTCCAAATATCCCAATCTTCGCAACACACTCCGGGTCAAAGCCGGTGAGTCTGGCAATAAGAAGGGACCCCCTCCTCTGAAGATGCGCCTCGCCAATACGCTTCCGTACAACTTGACGCTGGTGTTGTTACTGCCCGGTGAGGTTTTGGGGATCACGAAGGCATGGTTCGATTCATGACGCTTCCAAGACTGCTGCCCAGGGTGTTCCTGTAACATCTCATATAGAGCATAGGTAGAACATTGCTGAGGGAACACTGCCAGTGACCCCAAATTATTTCTGACCCAGAACTTCGCCGCAGCGTGAACCAAGTAGCCACCGTCATCGTAAGCCAAATCCTGAAGAAAGCTGCGGACTACCTCAACTTGCTGGCTGCTGTCATAAGAGGCGTAGGGGTCACAGAACTGCACGCTGCCTGTACCATCTGCATGAAGAATTGCCCTGATTTTGGCACTGCTATCCCTGGAAGATTCCAGTGCCAGCACTTGGGCGCCTACGTCTTCATATCTGCGAACAACATCAAATCTCTTGGAGGACACTAACCTGGGTTGCTGTTAAGGAACTTAAATTAAGTTACCTTAATGGGTATATATAGTAAATAATAGGGTTTCCCCAAGATGGTAACTTAATTTAAGTTCCTTAACAGCAACCCAGTAACACCACAAGACTTGATCCTTTGGCAGTGGCTCCCTTCACAGCTTCTAGAAAGCCCGTGTCTTGCACCATGAGGGCAACTTGGCATTTCTGCGATCTGCCAGCAATGTCCGCTACCCTGGCTACCATGGCTGTATCGTTGGCTTCTCCAAGCGAGTTGCGGGACACAGGGCAGAAACTGATGCCAGGCGTCAGCATAAAGTTTCGCCACTTGTGATTTCTTACCCTGCCTGGTGCTGCATATACTGAAGTTCGCACAACGTGGCCGTCCTGCTCCAAACGTTGAATTGCCTGCTTGATCTCAGCCAGGCTGTGTGTATCAGCATCTACAAGCAATTCGGTGCCGTCTAATGTTCCGCATGCGCCCATCCTTCCTGCATTGTAAGTGCCCTGGAGTTGGATGAGCCGCGCAGGCAGGACGACCTCAGTCTGAAAGCATGGAAGTTATGGAAGAACCGCGAGGGAAATTATGTTTGCCAAGTAATTAGGCAATACACCCCCCCGACTTCAGGCTACTGCTGCTACCCAATATGGTAGTTTCCCTAAACAGGGGGTACCCCAATATAGACCCAAAAATACTATAATCCTTATTATAGCGACCCCCAAAAAGGTACCCCTAATTTTGGGAAACCCCCATATACCTCTTCGAGTTGTTGCTTTAGATGTCTAAGCTGAAGGATCCCAACACTAATTGGGGCTTTCCCAAAATTTGGGTACCATTTTGGGGGTCCCCATAATAAGGACTATAGCATATTAGGGTCTATATTGGGGTCCCTTTATTTACGGAAATTACTAATTCGGCCATGTAATTCTTTACATTCGAGTGATTTCCAAAGTTCCGTCAATAGCAACGGGCCTTGTGCTTCAGCCGCTGCAGCAGCACGCCCATCTGCATCATAGCAGTGCCGCGCATGGGGAAAGGCGCTCCTCATATTGGGAGCCAAGAAACAAGCTATGAGATCTGGAGTTGGGGGCACTTCTTACAGGGCTAACTAGACTGACTTAGCCCCTCTCTTGTCAGCACCTGCCTGCTTTGTGGCTGGAGGGCCTTTGCAACTAGAACGCCAAGATGCAACAAATGCAGCAAGCGTTGCAGTTGCAAGATAATGGAAACTACTATAGTATATTGGGGTTATAATGGAATAATGGAAAAGAAAATGGAAACTACAGGAATTACAGGGATTTATAGATTGCTTGAGCCAAGCGAACTAATCCGGCTGAAGCGGCAGCGAGTTTGATCTTGGATGCTTCTCCACGAACCTACACATGGCCCAAGGGACTTATGCCACATCTGCCACATCTGCCACTGAAAAGGGAATGTGCCAGAACAAGGAATATCTAATTGGATCCAAGGTACTACGATTCCGGATCTAACAATGGCTTCCTGTCACAGGCACTCCAGGCCATACCCAATTTCTACAACTCGACCTCTAGCCCAAGCTGGTAGACATGATGCTGACTGTCATGGTCGTGCTGAAGAAGCCGGAAAGGCTTTAGTTGCAAGCAAGCCGCATTGATGGTGACAGTGTGGGAGACAGAGTCCTGCGAAGACTTGCATTCACAAGACCACCCTGCTTTGTGTTGTGTGAAGGTGTGAGAGCTCCATTCTTTTGTTTAGACCAAACAAAACAGAATAGTTACCTGTCATCCCCGCATTGATTTATTGCCAACATTGCGAATCAGCTGGTAAACGGTCTAACGGGGATTTTCACAACTGGTTAAATGTGTTAGCAGCAAGAAAAGGAACCAAGACGCATCGCCACCAGAACAAAGGGCCGCTGTCCGGCTCCACAGTTGATGCTGGTAGAGACCCAAAGAGCCTGTGCAGAGCTTCTATGGGAGCCCCAACACACCCCAAGTGAAAAGGCCAAGGTTTCTTGACTAAGGTCTTAGGGTGCTGGCTAAACTATTGGCTGCCTTGCTGGGGTGCAAGTCTGTGTACATCTACAAACTTAAAAATTGTGGATTTAGGGTGGGTCGTCAAATTTGCGTCCCTCTAGGGTCCATAGCATGACATCCAAGAAGGCTACATGACCTTTTTACCAACCCTCCATATGATGTATTGAAAAATGGCGAACGTCTGCGCGGGGCCTTTAGAAGTCGAGATTGACATGCTTGGGGCGTCGTGTTCTTAAGCTTGTACACATCCGAAAAGGCCGAAAGGGCAGCAATGTAGAGACTAAACGAAGCAGGAATGCGGCTATGGGGCCTCAACCCTGATTCAAGCAGAGTAGCTTTGTCAGGGGCGCTACGATTCATGCAGGCTTCTAGAGGCTGGCAATTATGAGGGTGAGCCACGTGCGACTATGTGCGACTTAGACATTTTTGTGCATCAACGGTATCATTTGGTTAGTCTCCCCTCCTTTCGTGCGCACCTCTAACACTAGCTTCGAAACATCCGAATCAAGGGCTGAACAAATCCTGGCTTTTTGTTCGTAATTGATTGCGAACCCCATCCTGAATACATCCGTCACAAATCTCATCTGCGAGGGAATTCCACCAACCGCTGCGGCTAAAGAATTCCACATTATATATATATATACATACATACAAATATGTGTGTTTTCTATGTATGTGTATGTATATATGTATAATCTAACCTCCTAGTATCCCCCTAATAATTATGCCTCATAGCAGTCCCCCATACAATGCCCTATATAACCCCTTTAAGATGTTCTAGACTATAACTCACATGGAAGGCCCTGCATCGGCTGCTTAGGGAGCGCTTTGGGCGGCCTGGGAAGTTTAAGGCGTTCAGAAACAGGGTTTAGGGTTTAGGGTTTGGTTTAGGCTTTAAGGTTTAGGGCTCTGTTGAGGGCTTAGGGACATCAATCCCCCAAAACTAGCCTCATCTTTCAATGCCTGGGCCTGAGTTACCCTAACGGCCCAAAGAAAATACGATGCGGATACTATCTATAGACTTTGGGGCCCTACGTAGGCAATACCAAAAGAGTTCGGCCCCCCAACGGTTATGTGGCTAGTTCCAAAATCGAGGGACCCCAATATAGAGTCCCCAAAATGCTGAAATCCTTATTCTAGGGAACACGGAAGAGGTAGGCCTAATTTTGGGAAACTTAGCTTATAGACTTGGACCCCTTGGCTATGTGGAAAGTCGAACTTGCAAACCTTAAGCCCTTGACCCCAAACCCTTAAACCTCAACTTTACGTCAGGCTTGCAATGTAGCGACCTACATGAACACCCATATCATCTTGAGGCACCCTCTTCCGTTTTTATACAATCAAGGAACCTCAAGATATAATTTTGACAATGATTTGACTCCAAACGGTAGTCTGTCTCATAAATTCCAGGACCCCCTTTCCAGAAATCACCATGAAAGCCTGATGAATCGTGATCAGGGCCCTCATAGACCCACTCGTAAACGGTTTCCCCAAGTTAACGCCGCAGGTAACCAACCTCCCAGGTACTTGTACCCTAAACCCCAATCCCTAAACCCTAAACCCCAATCCCTAAACCCTAAACCCTAAATCCCTCTTCCTTGGTACAAGGCCTGAGTGCTGCCTCCCAGGCAGCTGCTTTGCCACAGGTGCACAGGGCCTCGACTTGGGGAGTGAATTTGAGCCATAATCTAAACCAGGATCTGAGCTATATGGGGATAGTGGAAAAGAAAATGGAAACTGCCATAATGGCTTATATAGGGTTTAGGGTCTACACTCCTAGTATCCCCCTTAATAATTTAGTATTCAAGGGGAAAAATGTGGAACACGAAATGGAAACGACTTTATATAGGCTTATGTAGGGATTGAAGGGGTTATAGTCTAAACTCCTGGAATCCCCCTTAATAATCCAATAGTAGTCCCCTATATCATCCCACATGTAACTCCCCTTTCAGTAATTTAGACTATAGCTTAATTTCAAGTTGGTTTAGGTTTCGGGAGAGTCTGCAATGGTCTGTGGGTTCTGAGATACGGGTTGAAGGTTGGAGGGGATTTCGGGAGAGTCTGCAATGGTCTGTGGGTTCTGAGATACGGGTTGAAGGTTGGAGGGGATTGTTTAGGATTTAAGACCCCATGCCTGTAACTTTGACTTTTACTCTTACCCTAAACCCTAAACCCTAAACCCCACTACTTTGAAGGAGCCTCGAGTTAGGGGTAGTAACATATATCCCCAGCACAGCATAACCCTAACATAGCCCATTACAAGTATAGGTTCCCTAACCCATCAGTAGCTCCATGGCCCCTCCGCTGCGGACGGCTGGGCCTCTCCAACTCACCCCAAACATCCAAGGACAGAAAGCCTCATCTCTCTCTCGCTCTCTCTCTCTGCATCTCTCCATCCTTCTCACTCTCCCTGTCTTTCATATTCATATGCTCACGAGGGTCAGCTCAATAAGTCAGGGTCATTCCAACATTTTCAGTTTCAGCTAACTGGAGAATCAACCAAAATCAGCCAATGACCTCCTTGGAATGGTGAAGCTCCCGCCACCCCTGGGATCATAGTGGTATGTTTCGGGTGGATAATCTGGGATGTGGGTTTGGCAATTTGGAAGGAAGGAATTCTGCCTGTCCATGTGGTAGCCTCGGTACATGTAGGTTCTCAACATAAACGACAAAACACTTTGGCGCTTGTAAGCAGGGTCCGCCGAAAAAGACCGGCAATTTTTTGGAAACGCTCCATATGCAGGTGAGCAGCGTTGGAGCGACTTACCGCTGATGCTGGGAGCGCCACGTCCTCCCATCATGCAGACGCAACAGTGGGGTTCTCAAGAAGGCGGCAGAATATATGCGGCAGAATATGAGCATCATACTGCCAACTGTGGCCATGCTCCACACTCTCCTGTGCTACAAGCTGTTGTAGAAGTGGTTTGTGACCTATGCCGCTAGCTGGTCATCTGACAAAGTGGTCTGCAAGCAATCAATGGGCCGTTGTCCACAAAAGCCATGGTACCAAGGATGTTCAAAATGAATGGATATCGGGACCCCCCCAGAAACACACCAAAATGATTGCCGTCATGAAAACTGTTTCCTGTATGTCTTGTATGCTTTCCAACTCAGAAATTGAGGATCCTGTTCGGGGTCCCGACAACCGGGGTGGCATTAAAACAGGTACATAGGTTCACCTCCATTAACTCCCGCAAGTTTCCTTGAGTTCTACGTAACTGGCTCGGCAATATCAAGAAAAAACTTCGATCAAGGGAGTTCCTTCAATAAGTGATGATGCATTAGATCATTAGAGCTGGTCAATTCTGATCCTCCACAGAAACCTGAACATCCACAACAGGCATGTCGCTGCATTCCCCTGACATACAAAATCCACAACTCCTCATGGCAAACTCTGACAAGCCCGTAGAACACCAACATTATCCTATACAACTTCATTTGCCCCCTTGGTGGGAGTTCGCTTCCACTGATGCTTCGCTCCTGTGAATGGCTCAGTATCCTCAGGGCAAAAGACCAGCCCTGCA